GCTGGTGAAGATTTTCTCTTATAGTTCATTAGTTTTTTTCCTCTGCTATGCAGAACCTTTTAAATTTCATGGAATTCCATTGTCAAATTTTGTTATGATCTCCTGAACTATTGGAGTCCTGTTCAGAATGTCATTACCCTTGCTTATATTTTGAAGTGTTTTCCCTATTTTCTTTTAGTAGTTTCAAAGATTTAAGTTCTGAGGTTTTTGATCTTTTTCAAGTTGATACAGGGTAAGAGATAGTGACCTAACTTGATTACTTAGGTGTGGTTATCCAGTTTCCCCAACACCATTTGTTGAAGAGACTGTTTTTTTTTTTTTCTTTGATGTATGTTTTTGGCACCTTTGATATGAATCAGATAGATGGCTGTGGGCTGGAGAGATGACAAGAGTCTTTACTGCTCTTGCAGAGGACCAAAGCACCTCTAGCTCCAGGGGATCTGACTCCCTCTTCTGGACCCCTCAGGCACTCACATTCACATATGCATTTATTCTCTCTCTCTCTCTCTCTCTGGATCTGACGCCCTCTTCTGGACCCCTCAGGCACTTAACATTCACACATGCATAGGGTCTCTCTTTCCCTCACACATACACACATACTATGTGTGTGTGTGTGTGTGTGTGTGTGTGTATATATATATATATATATAAAATAAAATTTTCAAAAATCTTTTTTTAAAAAGGAATCAAATGCCCGTAGTTTGGGTCTAACTCTGGGTCCTCTGTTCCGTTGGTCTAATATACCTGTTTGTGCCAGTACCACATTTTACTTCTAACTCTGGTCCTTATACTTGCACAGCTATTAATTTACTCACTGAGCCATCTCCCCAGGCTCCTATTCATCTCTTGATAGATATATAGGTTGATTCTATAAGTTGGCTACTGTGAATAGTTTTTTGAAATTTTTTTGATTTGTTTATATTGTGTATGAATGTTTTGCCTGCATGTATTTAAGCACACCATGTGTCTTGTATACAGTGCCTGTGGAGTCCAGAAGAGGGTATCAGATCCCCTGGAACTGGAGTTACTGATGAGTAACTGGTTGTGTTAACCTGCCATGTGGGTGCTGGGAACCCAAGTCTTCTGCAAGAGCAGCCAGTGCTCTTAACTGCTGAGCCATCTCTCCAACCTGGTAAATAGTTCTTGGGTGTATATACAAGTGAGAGTGCAGACATGTCTTCAACAAGCTGATTTTAAAGTTTTTGGGCTAAATACTAACTAGTATTACTGGAGCATGTGGTAATTCTACCTATAGTTTTTTTGAAGAGCCACTGCAGTGTTTACATTCCCTCCATGTCTTTTTGATAGTAACCATTCTGACAAGTATGAGGTAGTATGTTACTGTGTTAGCTTGGAGTTCTCTAGTGATTAGCATGGTTGAGAATTTTCACATATCTGATGTCTCTTGTGTTCCTTGTATTGAGAAATGTCTTTTCAGGTTCTTGTTTTTTTCATCAGACAGGGTCTTACTATATAGCTCTGGCTGGACTGGAACTTGCTTTGTAGACCAGGCTGGCCTCAGACTCACAAAGATTTGCCTGCTTCTGCTTCCTGAATGCTGGGATTAAAGGTGTGCACCACCATGCCTGGCCTTTGTTGTTTTGGTTTTTTAAATACATTGTTTTATTTACATATATATATAATTTTTTTTTACATTTATTATTTTTATATGTACAAGTGTATTGCCTGAATGGGTGTAAGTGCACCTATGTGGTGCAGTGCCCATGGAGGTCCGAAGAGGGAGTCAGATCCCCAGGAACATTTGTTAGCTGCCATGTGGGTGCTGGAAATCAAACGTAGGTCCTCTGCAAGATCAGCCAGTGCTCTTAACCACTGAGCCATCTCTTCAGCCCCGTTTGTTGGATTTTTGAGACAGGCCTCATGTAGCTCAAACTCAATATAAAGTGTGGGCAGCCTTGAACTCCTCATCCTCCTGCCTCTGCCTCCAGAGTTACAGGCATGCATACGCTGGTCTTCCCTACCCATTTTGGGCTAGGGGCAATGTTGTACACATATATAATAATAATGTATTTTGATATATATTCACCCCTATTTAGTCTTCCCTGTCCTCATCCCACTGAACCCCTTCCCAGCTAGTCCTCCTTCTACCTTTATGTTTTTGTGTGTGTGTGATCCATTGTGCTTGCACAAGCATGGGTTGGGGATTATTTACTAGAACACTGGGAATTTAATAGTGACTGCACCATGGAATGAAATGTCTCTCCCTGTCCCAGCACCTACCCATTTTTTGAGTGTGGGAGGGCGGGGGGAGATATGAATGAGAATGAATGAATACTCATGTATATGCTCATATGGAGGTCAAAGGTTAACTGTCAGGTGCATTCCTCTATTACTCTTCAGCTTTTTAAATTTTATTTTGCAATCTTTGCTCCCCCTGGATCCTAGGCAGCCACAAAACTGCTTTTTAGAAAATCCCTTATTTTTCCTTTATAGAAATTTCGTATAAATGGAATCATTTGAAATGTATTCATGTCTGGTATTATGTTTTTGAGGCATCCATGTTACATCAGTAGTTCATCCTTTTTTATTACTGAATATCGTATCATATTTTGTGTATTCACCAGTTGAGGGTATTGTGTTTAGCTTTATTAGTGATGCTCTGATACACATTTCTGAAGGATTTTTAAAACCATTTGTTATTTTAAAAAACTGTGTGTGTGTATGCAGGTGTCAACAGAGTCTAGGAAGGGGGGTTGGAGTTACAGGCGGCTGTCAGCTGTCTGACATGGGAACTGAACTCTGGTTCTCTGTAAGAGCAGTATGTGTTCTTAACTGCTAAGTCACCTTTTTAGCCCCTGATTCTTATAATTTTTACAAATAATATATTTCATATGTGGAACTGCTGGGTCCTATGATAAATGCATGTTTGATTTTTTTTTTTTTTTTTTTTAAGCAACTGCCAAAAGACTACCATTTTACATTCTCACCAATGTTGTATGAGAGTTCAGTTCTGGGCTAGCGAGGTGGCTCAGTGGGTAAGGATGCTTTGAAACCAAACCTAACTACCTGAATTTGATCCCTGGAACTCACATAAAGGAAGGAGAGAGCTGACTCCTGTAAGCTCTTGTCTTACCTCCACTCATGAATGCGTACACACAGACACACATATATACGTATGTGATTGCATACACACACAGACACACATAAATACCTAAGTAATAAATAAATGTAAGAGTTCTAATTTCTCTGTCTTCTCCAGTGCTTAGTCTTGCTAGTTTTAAAAATTTTAATGATCTTACTGTTTTTAGTGGTATGTCGTTGTGCTTAAAAAAACGTGTTTTGAGCCGGGCGTGGTGGCACACGCCTGTAGTCCCACCACTTGGGAGGCAGAGGCAGGCAGATCTCTGTGAGTTCAAGGCCAGCCTGGTCTACATAGTGAGTTCCAGGACAGCTGGGGCTACAGGGAGACCCTGCTTCAAAAAGACAAAAAAACAAACAAAACAAAACAAAAACTCGTTTTGTATAATTCACGTGTCAACAGTTTATACTCCCTTTCACAGGTACAATTCAGTAACATTTAGTATATTCAGAATTATATGATCATTACCACAAATAATTTCTATCATTGCCCAAAGAAGCCTACCCACCTTGGCCATAATCCTACCCACTCACTTACCTACCCTAGCCTTAAGCAACCGCTAATTTACTTTCTGTCTTTATAGACTTACCAATTCTAAATGTCTAATAAATGGAATCGTATAATATGTGGACTTTTGTGACTAGGTTTTTGGTTTTTTAGTGACTGTGGATGTGATGTATATATGTTTTTGGTAGGTATGCATGTGCACAAAGTCTGTATTGGGTATCTTCTGAATCACTCCACCTTAGTTTTTGAGACAGGGTCTCTCACTGAACCTGGAGCTCATCAATTTGTCTAGGTTGGCAGGCCAGTGAGCTCTAAGAATCTGCTGTGTCATCCCCCATCCAGTGTCTGTGTTGTGCCCCTCCAGATCTGAACTTGGGTCCTCATATTTGCATAGCAGGCCCTTTACCAACAACTGTTTCCCCAGCCCCTGCCACTAGCATCTTTAACTTATTTTTAAGGGTCATCTCTATTATAGAGTGTTTTAGTACTTCATTGTTTTCTTCTTTACTCAATATTTACGGATGTACACCTCATTATTTTGCATTCATCCGTTCATGGACATTAGTACTTTTCTACTTTGTTATAAATAATACAATTTATTTTTGCAAAACTTTTTTTTTTTTTTTTTTTTTTTTTTTTTTTTTTGTCTTTTTGAGTCAGGGTCTCCCTGTAGCCCAACTGTCCTGGAACTCACTGTGTAGACCAGGCTGGCCTTGAACTCACAGAGATCCGCCTGCCTCTGCCTCCTGAGTGCTGGGATTAAAGGCGTGTGCCACCACACCCGGCCTTTGCACAACTTTTTTGTGTGTAGTTGTATATCTTTTCATTTCTCTTGGCTTATACCTCAGAGTTGAATGGGTAAAATATATTGTTTCTCTGTATTTAGCCTTTGAGAAATTGCCAGACTTTTATTAATGTGACTGAACCATTTGACATTGTCTTTAAGATTATTTATTTTTATTTTATGTGTAGGAGTGTATTGCCTGCATGTATGTAAGTGCACCTATGTCATGCACTGCCCAAAGAGGTCAGATGAGGGCATCAGATTCCCTGGAACTGTAGCTATCGATAGTTTAGCTGCCTTATGGGTGCTGGGATTTGAACCCGAGTCCTTTGCAAGAACAGCCAGTTCTCTTAACGACTGAGCCGTATCTCCAGTCCAGCATTTGACATTTTCAACATCACTAATATATAACAACATTAATTTAATTGATATCTGTTAGAGATTGAGGTAGTGTTTTTACAACTTTGTAATAAGAAATTCTAGCTATCTGCAAAAAGAATTATATATCATATTTTGTGTGTGTGTGTATAAATTATATATCTTCCTACCTCCCTCAAAAACATTGCATACTTTTACACCTAGTTAATTATCTCCTTTTTTCTTTTGCAGAGTAAGAAAGCCTGAGTTTGGGGAGGAAAAAAACCCAAAACAAAAAGACCAGCAACAGAAGAGAAGCAAGGACAGCAGACAAGGTTTTTCCAGTTCGCGTAATGTAAGTTCTTTTCACTATTCTTGGCCTGAATCCTGTGTTAGCTGACAAAGCTGTTTCTATGGAAACAAATAGTCCAACCTTTTAGAATGTCAGAGGAATGCTGAGACTTTCCAGCTGCTGATCGAAGGGCATTTTATTTGCTAGAAAAGAGGAGGAAAGATGAATTGACACACACACAAAAAAATCAGAGTTCTGGACTCTAGCTAGGCAGTGACCATGTTCATGCATATGAAGTGTATCGTTTTCATTTCCCTCTGCCTAAATATTAAGATTATATGAAAACTTATTTTCCCACTAACCTGTTGTTTCCAAGCTTTTATACACATGGTTCTATTTCTTGAATTTTCGTTTTCTCCATCTTACTCATTTAGTCATATGATTTCCATCTTTCTAAGACAGACTCTACTTCTAAATGACTGATTTTTAGTTGCTCTTTGAAATGCTACACAAAGAAAGATAGCCTTGTATTTTCAGTGTTTCTTGTTACGCTGTTTTAGATGTCTGTATTCTCTTTGGATTTATGGTGCCCCAAGTTTAATTGAATAGATATTTCTTGGATATTTTCTTCATCACATATTTTATGCTAAGTATTGGAGGAGTAAAAATAAGACATAACCTGTGTCTCTAACACATTTGGAATCTGATGAAGAGAGATCAACTGAAGAAATCATTATTTCTTTGCTGTCTCTCTCACTAAGCTGAACACTGCAGGGGGAGATAACCAAAATGAAATTTTAAGTGCATTAGTATCAGTTGCAGAAATTTTTCTGAGAATAAAAGACTGTATCCACATAGACAAGTATGGTACTAATAGTCCAACAATGAGAATTCTGACTCAGATGTGTGATCTTTGATTTTCTCTCCCATGATTTACTGTAGTGAGTATGTATACATTCTTAAGAGTTTCTAAGTTGTTTTAATTTTAGCCATAATTTTTATAGATTGTCATATGTAGCATGTAAAAGAGAATATTTTCTATTACTAAGTTTGAGTTTTAATATCTAGTAATTGTAAATGAAGAAAATTCCAGTTTCTCTGGAACTACGTAAACTCGTAGATTTTTTAAATTAAAATTAACCATAACACTACAGTAACTCCGACACAAATTTCTGCTTACTTGTAATGAAAACACTAAATAAGCTGAATTTGCATCTATTTATAATCAATATAGAAACCTTAAGAATCACTTAAGTTTAATAACTCTTAATGTAAAAGAAGGCAAGCTAATGGTAAACAAAGTACTTATAGATTGCATGGTTATAAATAGACTAAGATTAGGATGGATGATAATCACAATTCTTGTGAAAATACAATTTTAGCGGCTCATGCAACTTGTATCTGTTTTCCATATTGTTGACCTTATTGGTTTTCTGGACCCTGTATAGTTTCTTACTTTGTATTAATTAGTTTTGTCTTCTCTCTCTGTTTTCACTGTGATTTGACCTTAGAAAGAAGATTGACTGGTATTAGGACTATTGCCTAAATTCCTGTGTTTTGCTTAGTCAGCACTGTGCTCTAACCATTTTATTTACTCAAATGGCACTCAAGGAGTTAGTAGGCTTATTAATATAAATATTTTTAAAGCTTGAGCAGAAGAACGCTAATTAAGTTTAATGTGTGGGTTTGCAAACATAAACACTCTCCCCATTTATGCCTAAGAAGTTGCTTGATGAAAAACTAGTGCCATTGAATAAGACTTTTCCTAACTTAATATATGTTGGAGGATTTTTAAGATAGAATCAAATTAATACTAATAGTATACATGTGTTTATTTCATAACATGCATTCATTATCTTGTTTAAAAACTCAGAACATTCCTGTAAGTAAATTTTCTATGTGACAATCTGAGGTTCAGAGAAAAACGGATTAGTCTTAAAGCAAAAAACTAGGGGACATGGCAGAGGCAAAATAGAAAATTCAGTTTTCTTGTCCTTATGCTCTTTTTGCTATACATGTTTATTTGTTTTTTCTGGAGTGGTATAGATACTACCATTTTTTCTAAATGAATTCTTATAAAGTTAATCTTAATTCTTTTATAAATGTCATGTAGTTTTATCCTTAGATGCCTCTGCTTTTTCTTTATCATTCTTTAGGCATCATTTTCATCTCAAACCCCTAAAAAATGAATTTTAGCCTCAAAAATACTTTCTATATTTCAAGTTAGCCATCTGTATGGCTTGTGTTATGTACCAAATTGTAATTAGTTGTTTAGGCAGTCAGTTAACACTATGTGTATTAATTAAGCAGAAAGTTGAGGGGTTTAATGTGATCATTGAAATACCTAATTATACCTAAAGCACTTATTCTCTATAAAATTAACACCCAAACCATTTTACTTTCCTGCTTTGCTAAACCTTCCAGTGTATCATTTTTCTTAGCTGTAAAATTTCTTGAGAGGTGACTTTCATTGTTTTAATGCCTTGATTTCCTCAACTTTATCTGTAAAATGAGAGAGATGGCCTTAATCTACATAGCAAATTGTATTAAATACTGGATATTCTGTATTGTGTGGAGATCAGAAATAGGCTATGTACAGTTTCTTTTATATTGTAATTCTTACACTTTTTTCCCCCCATCTTTCCCCTTAGATTTCCCTCATGGATACTTTTTCATAGCATTATTATGTGATGAGAAGTTGTTTTTTTCCCTTTCTTTGAAGTAACATGGATTTTATACTACAGAATCAAGAGAATTGGCTTTATAGGAAAATTTGATGTATAAAAAGTGGTACATGTTTTTATAGCTAACCATGACAACATCCCATATGAATGGGCATGTAACAGAGGAATCAGACAGCGGGATAAAAAATTTTGATCTTGCATCACCAGAGGAACATCAGAAGCACCGAGAGATGGCTGTTGACTGCCCTGGAGACCTGGGCACCAGGATGATGCCCATGCGAAGAAGTGCGCAGTTGGAGCGTATTCGACAACAGCAGGAGGATATGAGACGGAGGCGAGAGGAAGAAGGGAAAAAGCAAGAACTTGATCTAAATTCCTCCATGAGACTTAAGAAACTAGCTCAGATTCCTCCAAAGACTGGAATAGATAACCCTATATTTGACACAGAAGAAGGAATTGTTTTAGAAAGTCCTCACTATGCTGTGAAAATATTAGGTAAGTAAAAATAGCAGAATGTTATGCTTCTGTTTATGAATGTCAATATAAATGTGTATGGGAAGGGACAGATTTAAGAGAATATAAGTGATGGCAATTTGAATTTAAGACTTAAGTTCTTTATGCTTGCTGTTGTTTGCTTTTAGCCACATAGCACCTTCCTCCACATACTAATACTCTTTCTAAACTAGTGTTAGAAGCTAATAGAAGTAAGTATGAGAAACATAGCCTTATACATTAGTTTGTGTTCCCTTCAAAACTAGGCTAGGTCAAATGAGTTTTATTTCTTAGTGGTTACTGTTTTTAAGAGATGCTTCCCTTTTTTTTTTTTGTCGTTGTCATCATTTGGCCTTGTGTGTCTACTGCACTTTAGGTACTTTAGCAAACACTGTCCCCAGTTTCTTCATTTCAGAGATAAAGTGAACCTCTATAATCAGTGTGAAGTGTACCTGTAATCCTAGCTACTGAGAAGCCACGGTGGGGAGATTGTAAGTTCCAGGCCAGCCACGGCAAGCTACATGTTGAGACCTCATTTTAAACAACAACAGAAGAAGCAGCAGTTGAATCTCAGTTACATCACTTGATTAAAAACAACAGACTAGGGGCCGGAGAGATGGCTCAGCAGTTAAGAAAGAACACTGTTCTTGCAGAAGACCTGGGTTCGAATCCCAGCACCCACATGGCAGCTAACAACTGTCCATACCTCCAGTCCCAGGGGATCCAACAGCCTCTTCTGACCTCCACGGACATTGCACAACACAGATGCACTTACCTACATGCAGGCAATACACAAATACACAAAATAAAAATAATAAATAAATTTAAAAAAATAAACAAACCCAAAACAGCAGACTAATAGTTGAGAGGGCAAAATTTGAATTTGCCAGATCTGGAGTTGATACATACCTCCCAAAATGAAGGGTTTGAACTGAGAGTGACATCGAGCCTGCACCGTACCCACCAGGCCAGGGTTCTGGCTACCCAGAGTACAGTACCTTTTCCTAATTTGCCCAGAGGCATTATGTATTTGATAACATTTGTTCTTCTGTGGGTCTTTTTATTCCAGGTCTGGAGCAATTTCTATTCTGTATGTGTCATTTGCTTTTCTTTTTAAAAATTTATTAGAATGTACATTTAAAATGTGCACGTTTCTGTTCAAGAAATCGTAAGTAATGTGTTCAGAGATAGTAGAGTCTGTTAAATGCCTTCAGATGTTTTAATTACACTGGGAAAACAAAAAATAGGTACAGGGTACATTTCTATGAAGATATTTGGGAGGGGAGGGTTGTTGAGACAGGGTCGCACTATGTAGCTCTGGCTGGCTTGGAACTTGCTCTATAGGCCAGGCTGGCTTTGAGCTTGAGAAATTCACTTGCCTCTGCCTCACGAGTGCTAGAATTAAAGGCATGTGTCAACCGCGGCTGGCAATATGAAGGAATTTTGATGCTGGGGTTTTGGTTTTTGTTTCTTTTTTTAACCTTTAGGGATTTGTTAGAGTAGAAATACTTTGTTCCCTGTGGCCTCTTGCTTGCTCTTCGTTCCCCACCATTTCGGCTCCTTTTTCAGTCCTCCCTCCCTTAGATAGTTTGTAAGTATTCTTGATTGGAGGGGTTTATATTATAATATATACAGTCTGGATTGATCTGGTTTTTTCATTATTTTGAGATTAATGTATTGCTTTTTCCATTTGCATTACTTAGAGTCAGGCTGTTTACACAATAAACATATAATAATAAAAATACATAGCTTATGATTAATTTAGGAGAAATGTAGTGTTTTCTTTGTTTTCACATAGAAAATGAGCTTGTTTGCTGCATTTATTTGCTTTTTGGTTTTCTTTCTTTTTTTTTTAAACAGTGTTGCTGAGGTTGGTCTCAAACTTCCTTGGGTTCAAGTTATCTTCCTGCTTCATTCAGCCTTTCTAATAATTTCCAGTCCTCCTCCTCCTCTCCTCTTCCTCCTCTTCTATCACCAAGGAGCTATATTACCTACTTTTTTCTGTTTCTGCTCATATATTCCATAATTGACTTTTCTACAATTTAAAGGACAACTGTTGTTACTTTTCCTTTATAATTTGTGGTTTTCATTAATACCTTTGTGTGGCCTTTGGACTTAAGGCTGGGTAACCTGTTTTCTTTTAAAGTAATTTAAAATGTAGTATCAGGCATTTATAATTCATTTCTCAGAAAGAAAATTCAGTATTTTGAGAAATAAGTGCTGGATTTAGTATTAATATAGCCCATGTAAATGTCAGTTATAGGTAACTTGGAAAGCTAGCTTAATTTTTAAATTGTCAGTTGTAACCTCAGTTTATAGATTTATTCATTTTAAAATTTTCATTTAAAAGGAAGACATGAGGGGCTGGAGAGATGGCTCAGTGGTTAAGAGCACTCACTGCTCTTGCAGAGGACCTGGGTTCGAGTCCAGCACCCACACGGTGGCTATGAACCGTCCTTAGCTCCAGTTCCAGGGGAATCTGAAGCCCTCTTCTGACCTCCGCTGGTTGCCTGCGTGTATGTGAGTGCACCTGTGTCGCGGAGGTCAGAAAAGGGCTTCGGATTCTCCTAGAACTGGAGTTAAGGGGAAAAAAAAAGAAGATATGAGAGCAGAAAGGGGATTGTTTGACTGGGGGAAGATTGGGATCAGTGGGAAGGGAGTGCAGGGGCCAAGAGTGGCTAAAAGGGTGTGAGTGTGCACACTTACAGTGATGTGCATGTCATAACAAAACTTGCTATTTTGGGGCTAGAGAGATGGCTCAGCTGTTAAGAGCACTGGCTACTCTTTGTAGAGGACCCCAAGTTCAATTCCTAGCACCCACATGGTGGTTAACAGCAGTTTGTAACTCCAGTTCCAAGGCATCTGATGCCCTCTTCTGACCTCCATGGGCATTTCACGACATGGGTACACTTGCATACATGCAGGCAATACGCTCCTAGACATAAAATAAAATAAATATTTAAAAAATTTAAAACCTCATTATTTTGTAAGTGAACTAAAAAAGAAAAGTTTAAGGAGGTGTATAGCTTTTATCAAACATTTTCCCCTGTCCATAATCTGCTAACACATCAGACTACAACGCAAGTACTCCCTTAAAATTATGTGTCTCCTCTCCTGTATTTTAATTAATGCACACATGACAGGAGACAACTTCTCAGCCTTTTTCACATCCAGAAACAGCAATGTTTTAAATGAGGGAAGACTGGGACAGCTAATTTATTTCTGTGAGAGGCCACCCTAAGTTTCCAAATGATACATCATTTATCATTTATATGTGAGTAGACAAAGTACTCTTAATTTAAAATGTGACTAGGAATTTTTTAAAAAGTGTCTGGATAGTTTTTAATGAAAGTATTTGTAAACTTGGCAATGTGTAATAGTAAAGGTACAAAAGATACAATTTATAGAAAATATTGAGAAGGGATAAACAGAATTTTGTTTAAAAGTAGTCAGAATCCTCAGAAATTAGAAAGCAGTGATTGGAAAACTTAATTCCAAATGAATAATTAATATTTTTATAAACTGTAAACACTTTAATGTATTAAAGAGTGAAGGCAACAGAATAGTTTTCAGATATTTCTAAGGGGTTATATTTCAGCTTTTGTTTGTTTTTATGCTGATAGGTAAGGAATGTGGCACCAGGGATACGAGTAATGTCCTAGACATAATAAAAGGAATAAACTAAAAAGATTGCCTTTTGTTTTTATATGTAATTTTATGATTGTTACACTTTTGAATGGACATGGGAAAGGCTATACACACACTTGAATTTTGTGGTTAGGACTTCTAATTTATACCAGATACTTTAATGTGAAGCCAATAAAAGACAAATGAAAAGAAAACTAGGATGAATAAAGAATAAAATAAAGTATCTCTTGCACATTTCTAACATAAATTGACTTTTGACTGATTAAGAGATATGCTGGACTCAGTATAAGCCCTGTAATGTATAACTGTATTAATTCAACAGCGAACCTAAATTTTTTGTAGCCACTTTTGGAAGAGATGTATCTTTGCTCTGGAAACTGTTAATGAGTATGTTAAAGCTGTAATGAAATGCTTCTTCTAAAAAAAAAAAAGATGCTGGAATTTTTCTGATTGTGATGAACTTTTAAAAACAAAGTGTATTAGCCGTGCGTGGTAGTGCTTGCCTTTAATCCCAGCACTCAGGAGGCGGAGGCAGTTGGATCTCTGAATTCAAGTCCAACCTGGTCTCAATAGCGAGTTTCAGGCCAGCTGGGGCTACAAGGAGACAAAATCCAGGCCCAGTAAATAGTTTTTACTTCAACTTACTTCTGAGAAGTTGTTTTCACTATTGGATGTTTCACTCTCAGAGTTTTTAGCCATTTCTCCAGAGACTTTTTTTTCCTCCTGCAAATGAGGTGATGAAATTTACTGATAGTAGATTTAAAGTTTAAAGTGCAAAGACTGTTTGAAAATTTCCTGAGTTAGATTGCTAAAATTAGAGGTTAAAGATTTAAATATTCATTGGAATATGTGCATAAAACTATAAATTGATGTTCTTCAACATACCTAATTTTACTGAAAATAATTTGGTGCTATATCGTTTGATCTTTGACACATACCTGAACCTCATTCCACTTACTTATAATGATTTTTTAAACTTTTTTCACCCTTCCAAAGACTTAAAATGCTTGGGAGGGGCTGGAAAGATGGTTCATCAGAGAGCGTATATTGCTCTTGCAGAGGACCTGAGTTTGGTTCCTAGCACCCAAGGAATGAGATACCCTCTTCTGATCTCTGGTAGGCTTGTGTGTGTGTGTGTGTGTGTGTGTGTGTGTGTGTCTGTCTGTCTGTCTGTCTGTCTGTGTCTGTGTGTCTTTGTGTGTCGCACCGTAAACTCATGGAGCCACACACATACACACAAAAATTTTTAAAAATCTAAAAAAAATGCTAGACATAACTAAAGAAATATCTGAAACAGAACAGAATTTAACATTTAAATTTTTTTAAATTTTATTTATATGAGTATTTTTTTCTATGTGTGAGTACCTCATGTATGTGCAGTGCCCATGGAGGCCAAAAGGGGGCATTGGATCCTCTGGAACTGGAGTTATGGATGGTTGTTAGCCGCCATGTAGGTGCTAGGAATCAAACCTCAGTTCTCTTCAAGAGCAACTGGTAGTGTTAACCACTGAGCCATCTCTCTAGCTCCAAGCTATGTATATTTAATGAATTTTTCAAAACTCTTCTAGGTGATTGGTGACTTAGTCTCTTCTACTTGTTCATTAAACATTTTTAATGGAAACATTTGAGCCTGGGGGATAAAAGTACTTAGAGCTGCTTTTCTAAGAACCTCATCTAGAAACTTTCCCGCTTACATCAGTCACAGACAGCTTTAGAATTTATCTGTAAACTTGATCTAAACCATAGCTGTCAATTTTGCTGTACTTCTTGGTTACCCATGTTAGTACAATGCTCTCAGAAATCCTTTACATGTCTCAGAAAGGTGCTTAGCCTCTACAAGTCACAGAAATCATAGCTCTGACTTATTTTGTAGACCTTGTACTGCCTACCATTTTATGTTAGAGATAAAGTAGATTACTCTGAGAAAGTATTTAAGATAAGGCTTGGTAAAAATACTAGAAATAAAATGCAGCAATATTGTAAAGTTAGCATTTGGAGAGTGAATTAAAACAGAAGTCAGTGTTCTATATGCACACACATACAAATACTATATATAACTATATATAGGCGATCCCCCCTTAGAATACATAGTGATACAGCCATAATGTTTAAGTTCTTCTCAATTCTAGTTGGTAAACGTTACATGTTGCTGTATTGGACAAAAACCACAGCTCAGGTAGCCCTTCTAAAACAGATAAGTGATATAAAAGGGTTATGATATAGTCAAACCCTGAAACACCACCCACCCCCCATGTGGAAAAAAAGGAAAGAAAGGGGGGAGGAAACCCTTTGAAGTTGAAGAAGTGAACTCTCATCCTGGTATCATTTATGCTTGACTTAAGTCACTTTGTTACTGTGTGCTGCTTTTTCTCCACCTGTAGAAATTTGATGTGTCTTTAATGTTTGCTTTGTTGTTGTTATTTATTTTTGGGAAAGTTTCTCAGGGACTGGCAGTGTAGCTCAATTGGTAGAATGCTTGCCTAGCATGCACCAAGCCCTGGATTCAGTCCCCAGCCCTGCTTAAAACTGGGCATGGAGGTGTACACTTGTAATGTCAGCATTTGGGAGATACAGGTAGGAGAATCAGGGACTCAAGGTTATCCTTAGTTACTTAGTGGGTTCAAGGCTAAGACTGGGCTGCATGAGACCCTGCCTCAAATATACATGGAGGAGATTTCGCAAGGTTTTAATGAAGGTTGAATAAAGTAAGACACATAAAATATACACTATATCATACTGTTCAGAAATAGCAATAACTATGTGTAGTTCAACCAAATGCTTTTTAAATTTTACTGTTTTTATTTCATTTTTAAAATATTTTATTTATTTTTAATTTATGTGTATGAGTATATTGCTTGCATGTGTATAAGTGCACCTATACATGCAATGCCCACAGAGACAGAGACTCTGTCTCAAAAAAATAAAATATAATGTAAGATACAAGATAAAGGAATACAACTCAGTAGCTTCAGGACTTAACGAAGAAACCTTGCAAAGAAGGCTTATTTAAAGGAGTTAAATAAGGCAACCCCCCCCCCCATGACTGTAAATAGCAGGTAGTATCTACTGTTTTTCCCAGAATTATTTACAGGTTTAGTTTTAATTGGAGTCTCAATAGGACTTTTCTCTCTCTCTCTCTTTTTTAAGAAAATTGTGTGTGTGTGTGTGTGTGTGTGTGTATGAGTATATTTCCTGCATGTGTGTAAAAGTGCCCTGGAGGTCAGAAGAGGGCATCAGATTCCCTGGAACTGGAGTTACAGAAGGTTGCTAGCCACCATGTGAGTGCTGGGAATTGAACCCGGGTCCTCTGCAAGAGCAGCCAGTGCTCTGAAACACTGAACCATCTTTCCAGCCCCTGAGTTTGTTTTTTAAAAACTCAGAATTTTGCATAAAAATTTTATTTCTAAGAATTTAAATTTTTGTATTTTTTTATGTGTATGAGTGTTTTGCCTGCATCTATGTAAGTGTACCCATGGCGTACAATGTCAATAGAGAGGCCAGAGGAGGGTATCAGATCCCCTGTAACTGGAGTTGTGGATGGTTGTTAGCCACTATATAGGTGCTGGGAACCAAACCCCAGTCCTCTGGAATAGCAGCCAGTGAGTGCTCTTAATCATTAAGCCATCTCTCCAGCTCGTAGGAATTATTTTGAGAGAGCATAGTCTCAGACAAATTTATATGCAGTGATGGTTGTTATGTGCTCACTTATTACTTATGCTGGTTAAAATGGAAGCATCCGAAATGTTGAACTTGAATGTAAGAGTTGTTATAAGTTTTGCTTTGGCCATGTAAAATATGATGAAACCATTATTTATAATATTTTTTTAAAACCATTGATGTGAACAAGCACTTACAATGTACTGTTAAATTATAAAGGATGTTGGGGGGAGGATTGTTTCTAGATGATAGGATTATGGATATTTTAAACTTTATTTCTCTGTATTCCCTTCATTTAATTTTATAATGAGAGTGTATTAGTTTATAATTAAAATGCTTTATAAAAAGCTGAAAGTTAATTCTATTGTATAGTTTTTAGGTTATTGTTAAACATCAGTAAAATAACATGGATTGGCACTTAAAGTCATACGAATTTATTTTTCTAAAAATGTAAATTTTTGCCAGTTCAAGAAATTTTATCTTAAAACTCATATTGAATTAAGATCAAAATAATTAATTTTGGGATAACTTTCCTTCTCCTACTAGAAGTTGAAGACTTGTTTTCTTCACTTAAACATATCCAACATACTTTGGTTGATTCTCAGAGCCAGGAGGATATTTCACTGCTTTTACAACTTGTGCAAAATAAAGATTTCCAGAATGCATTCAAGATACACAATGCTGTCACAGTACATATGAACAAGGCCAGTCCTCCATTTCCACTTATCGCCAACGCACAGGAGCTTGTACAAGAGGTATGTAGCTGAACATCTTGTTGACATCTACAGAGTAATTTTAGTGATAATGAAGCAGTGTTATTGGAAAGCACTGATTTGACTGTTAAGCTTGTTTCAAAGAATTGGTAATAATCACATGCTAATGTTATCTTGCAGTGGGAAAATTTTGCATACATTTTATTTTGAAAAAAAAAAAAGTAACTTAGTTGAGTTAGAGCTCTGGTCATGAAGACTTAAATTTGTGTTTAAAATTATAAGTTTAGGATAGGGCATGGTGGTGCATGCCTTTGATTCTATGATGCAGAGGCAGTTGGATCTCTGTGAGCTGAAGGTCAGGATAGCCTGCATTATGAGTCTTGGGGGGGGTGATTACAAGTTTAGATAGTAACAGGTATTTTCAGTTTGATGCATTTAGCATGGTTTTATTAACTATTATATATTATAAAGTTAGATAAAAGTGTAAGCTCTAATAATCAGGGGCTATGAATATGTAAGTCTTTAAGATCTATTGTTTTTCTTTTTTTAATATTTTATTTATTATTTTTATTTTATGTGTATGCGTGTATTTATTTTATGTGTATGAATATATTGTCTGCATGTAGGTAAGTGCACCCGTTAGCTGCTATGTGGGTGCTGGGATTCGAACCTGGGTCTTCTGCAAGAACAACCGGTGTTCTTTACCGCTGAGCCATCTCTCCAGCCCTGGATTTATTGCTTGTTGATATTTTGAAATTTTCTTACTATAAAAATGCTATAAATGTTCCAGATTGTCAAATTTTAATGTACTATAAAAGTTTCTTTTTGTTAACATGATGACTTTTAAATTCTAGATTCTGCTGATACTTGATGTTCAGTGTTAAATAGGTCTTTAAACATCTTTAAAATTGAAGATTTTAAAGGTTACACATCAGTCTCTCATTTTGGGCACTACACATTCCATCATTACAGAATTTCACATTATATTGGTATTATAAAAAAAATAATTTCAGAATCCTCCCAAGTAAATATATTTCATAGAGTCTATACAGAAAGTGAAAAAAGGCTGTTGCAGGGGGTGGGGGGCAGGTTACACCTTCCAAGAGCTACAGACCTGTAAATTAGGTTAGGAGATACTTTACAGGTGAATATAGAGTGGTCCGAAAGGGACATAATTTCCTCATTGAAATGCCTAATACCTTACATGAACGTGTGACAGAGAGAAATCTAGCGTTGCCCAGGATGTAAGAATGACCCGAGGATCCGTTCTTTGAAAGGAAACTGTCCACTTAACCACAGTTTCAAAGAGCGGATTGAAACTACTAAACTCACCTACTGTTGAAATTAATAGATTTTTTTTTTCATTGAAAAAATTATTGAGCACTGGGTATAGGTTAGTGGTCTCAGAGCTCTTGTCTAACATAGGAGGCCCAAGGTTCAGTCCCCAACACCATAGGAAACAAACAGTAATTATTATTGTAGCTTTTTGTATTTAAAAATATCACTTCTACTCAAGTTTCTTTAATGTTTTATATTTCTTCAGATAGTTTAAACAGTTTTGTTGAAAATTACTATTTTTACTTTTTATTTATTTATTATTTATTTATTTTTGGTCTTTTTTGAGGCAGGGTCTCTCTGTAGCCCCAGCTGGCCTGGAACTCACTACGTAGACCAGGCTGGCCTCGAACTCATAGAGATCCGCCTGCCTTTACCTCCCAAGTGCTAGGATTAAAGGCATGCACCACCATGCCCGGCTATTTTTACTTATTTTTATTTTATTGTATGTGTGTTATGCCTGCATGTATGTACGTGCACCCATGTTGTACAGTGGCCACAGATTGGAACTGGAGTTAGAGATGGTTGTTAGCTACCATGTGGTTGCTGGTATTCGAACCCAGATCTTCTGCAAGAACAGCCAGTACTCTTAACTACTGAGACATTTCTCAAGTCCCCCAAATTACAATTTTTTAAAAAATATTTATTTTTATTTTATGTATATGAGTGTACTGCCTGCATATATGTAAGTGCACCCGTGTTGTGCAGTGCCCACAATGGTCAGAAGAGAGCGTCAGATCTCCTGGAACTGGAGTTATGGATAGTTGTTAGATGCCATGCTGGGTGCTGGACTTGAACCCGGGTCCTCTGCAAGAGCAGCTAGTGCTCTTAACTGCTGGGCCATCTCTCCAGTGCCAAATTACTATTTTTTAAAACAAAGATTGAAACAGCATTACTTTGATCTTATACTATTTTAAAATAGTATAAGACACAGTGTTGTACACCTTTAATCCTAACACATGGGAGGCAGAGTCACGTGGATCACTGAGTTTGAGACCATCCTGGTCTACATATGGGGAGTTCCAGGCCAGCCAGGACTACATAGTCATACCCTGTGTGAAAACAAAACAAATATATATAGTGTAATTTCTATTGTGAGGGGCTGAGAATACTAACCAAATTCCCTATCCTACAGCTGTCTGCTGGACCTTTGTTTTACTGAATAGGACAGTGGTTGGAAAATGTGAAAAGCAAGGGAGTAATTGCTTCAATAGAGAAAAGCTAATGTAGACCTTGGGGAGTACTTGAAAATTGTATTGTTTGGGTGGTGATAAGATGATGGTGACTTTGGACTGAGACTAGTCATAAAATGAGTCCAAAATAGCCTGGTCAGAGCCACAGAATGTGATGATGTTTCAATATGAATGATTTCTTGTGGAGTTGTGCTCTGAAGTCACCCTGACTGTCAGTATGAGACACTTGTGAGGAAAAACACATTCTCAGAGCTCATCAAAGAAGGATATTTATTAGCAGAGTTCTAGAGATTAAATGGACCCATTGCCTTTAGTTTATTAGAAAATAAAAATCTTAGCCATCAGTGACTCTAACTCACTTGTTTTATATTTTTGTGTAGTAAAGCCAGGTGAGGTTTTGTGACTAGCATAAGAATAAAAGTAGGTATTGCTTCTGTGTCCATGCTTTGCTTTTTAGCCTTCATAATCCACCATTTTTAATGTGCAGTATTTAAAAGAAAAAATTTGGCTGAGTATGAAGCTCAGTGGTAAAGCTTTTGTGTAGCATATACATGAGACCCTGGATAAATAAAAGAAGAAATTTTCTGAGCATGGTGATACACATCTGTAAATCTCAGCATGCAGGAGGTAAAGGCAGGAGTATCAAGGGAGTTCAAAGCCAAGTATTGGTTACATACATAGTAACTTTGATACCAGCTTGGATCTATATATAATGAAACCCTGTTTCAAAAACTAAACATGCATTTGTATATGCAATACATAAGAAATTACTTCCTGTTTAATTGCATCATTTTTTAAAGGGGTGTGTGTGTGTGTGTGTGTGTGTGTGTGTGCGTGTGCGTGCGCGTGCACCCACAAAGGCCAGAAGAGGGTATCAGATCCCCTGGAGCTGGAGTTACAAGTGATTGTATGCTGTCTGACAGTATCCTGGGAACCAAGCTCCAGTCTTCTGAGCAGTTGCTCTTAACTTCTGAGCCATCTCTCCAGCCCCTAGTTGTATAATTTTTAAATGGAAATTTAATAGGTGAAAGTCTCAAAGAATTTAGTGAAATGTTAAGAAATGTTCTTTATAGCTGAGAATATCAATTATGGGTTGGTGAAATGGCTCAGCAGGTAAAGACAGTTGCCACCATGCCTGACATCCTTAAGTTTGATCCCCAGAACCCACATGATGGATGGAAAGGCTCAATTCCAAGAAGTTGTCCTCTGACCTACACATATGCACATTAAATAAATAAATTGTAAGAAATTACATAGTAAGATCTAAATGAAGTTTTTGATGATCTAAGCTTTATTAATAAGCAGATTTTGTGGTTATACTATATTTTTTAAAGAAAATATTGAGGGTCTGGAGAGGTGACTCAGTGGTTAAGAGCACTGACTGCTCTTGCTGAAGACCTGTGTTTGGTTCTCTGCACCAACAGGATGGCTAACACCTGTTAGTAACTCCAGTTCCAGGGGATCTGACACCCACTTCTGACCTCTGTAGGCATTGCATGACATGGCGCACTTACCTACATGAAGGCAAAACACTCAAAATTAAAAAAAATAAAGTTAAAAGAAAATATTGAGAATTTGGAATTCCATTAAAATAGCTTTTGCTTATCTAACAACATCTTGGCATAAAATGCAAGTCATATCTGGGTTTGATTATTTTGAGATGTGATATATGTGTATGTGTATAAATAAATATATGTATGACAGATATGGTAGCATGATCACCATGTTGTGGGGAAACAGTATGGCATGTGTGGGGAACAACAGTTTAATGCTGGCATGAGGAATGACTGGCCTGGAAAAGGGGCAAGAATCATGGGTACTTACTATTAAGGAGCTAAGACTTGATCCTGTAAGTTACTGAAAAGGCTGTGAGAACTACCATGGTCATTTTCTGCTTTAGAATTGAAAATACTCAATGAGATAGAAAAAAAAGTCTTAATCTATTGTTATGAAGTCAAAATAGTCTAGTACTCTTAAAACAGTTCAAATAGCATGATCTCATTTTGGTAAAAATAGGTATAAAAAATGTCCTCCAGGGCTGGGGTATAGTCAGTGGTAGAGAGCATACCTAGACTGGGTGAGGCCTTGGAGTCAATCCCAAGTACTGCACAAAAAAAAATCAGAAAGAAACACAAATCAATGACTTAACATTGCAACTCAAGACCCTCTATATCACTGGATTTGACATCCTCACATTTAGCGTAGTTTGCTAAAAATACTTGCTTCTATACTGAACACATGACAGTATTTTTTCCTTTTTATCCCCTAAACAATACTATACAGCAAACTATTAGGTATTATAAGTAATGTGGAAATAATTTAAAGTATATGGCTGGAAAGGTATGTGAGTTATATGCAAATACTCCACCCTTTTATAGAAGAGTTTTAAGTGACCTTGGATTTGAATATGGAGGAAGAGTTTCAGGAACTAATTTTGTGCCATACTAAGGGAAAACTATATGCATAGAGATTTTCTCAAAGGTATAGATGCATTTTTAAAAAATCCAACTTTGAGGTGTGGTTTACATTTACTCAAAATGGATGTTTCATTGTTAGTTCAGTGTAAATATCTGTGTATACACTTGTGAAATCTACCACCACCAAGCTATTAAAACATCTTCCATTCCATAAAGCTCCCCCAATGCCCTTTAATAGACATAACCACCTCTTCTGCTCTTGAGACCCTTTTGACATCTATTGATCTGCTTTTTCTTTTACTAATTTACCATTTATGAGCATGTCAAATATGTGGACAATATTTACTCTTTTGTGTCTTCATTAGTTATTTTTCTTGTTACTGTGGCTAAATACTTGTCAGGAAGCAACTTAAATGGACAATTTATTTTGGCTCACAATTTGAGAAGGTATAATCAGTCCATCCTGAGGGGAAGGCATGATGTTGGGGTGGCTCAGCTCTGTGGCAGGAGGAATGTGAGGCAGCTAGCTATATTACCTTGGTAGTTAGGAAAGAAAGACTGTTGGAACAAAAAGTTATAACTTTGTTGGAACAAAAGTTATAACCCGTAACACATAGAACATTAGCAACCCACTTCCTCCAGCTAGGCCCTACCTCTTAAACTTTCTATAGCCTCAGAAACCACCACTAGCTGAGGACCAAATGTTCAAAAGCAAGCCTGTTGGGGTCATTTCACATTCACACCATAAAGTGTCTAATTTCTTTTTGCTCAGTAAAATCTTAAGATTGATCCCTATTGTGCATGTATCTAATTTAACCTGACACTTCACCCATGATAGGTAGGAACTTTACCACTAGGCTAAGTCTGTAGCCCTGGTAGTTTGTAATGTTTCCTGAGATATATTCCATTGTGTAAGTATCCACCATTTATTTAGCCTCTTACCAGAAAGAGATTTGGTTGCTTTCTGTCATTGATTCATTTTTAACCATTTTACATTCATTTGTTTGTGTGTGTGTGTGTGTGTGTGTGTGTGTACACACACACTCGCCTACGTGCCATGGTGTGAACTCCAATTCAGAGGACAGGTCGAAGGAGTCAGTTCTCTCCTTCCATATGGTTTCATGGGATTGAACTCAGGTTGTCAGGTTGGTGGCAAGTACCTTTACTCACTGAGCCATCTTACTGATCCTCCTGTTACTGATTCTATCAGAAATGTAGTGATCTCTTGTTTTAATTTCTATTTCTATAATGATTACTGGTGCTGTTTTTACATAGTTATTGGCCATTTCTCTGTCTTTTGGAAAACACTTGATCAGATCTATTTTTGTTCTAAAAATTAGATTTTCAGTCTTGAGTTTTTAATATATTCTGATTATATTAATATATCCTGATTTAGTTAGATATATACCTCCATGTAAGGATTTTTCAAAAGCAGCTATAAAAATAAAAGGTATAAACCAAAAGAATGAGAATATTTTTATAGGTCAGTGGGAAGGGTCCAATAATGTAAGAACAGTTTTTCTTCGGCCTTGTAAGGGTAGCTCATGCTGTGTGTTGACACTAAACTAAATAACATCTGGGCTCATCAATGGAGAAGTGGTTACTTACCAGCATTCTAAATTCTTTTTAAAGGAAAGATCTCAGAGATGTTTAAGAACTGACTTAGGAATAGAGGGGAAAAAAAACTCTCACACAGAAAATTGAGTTAATTTATAAACTCTTGGCATATTTTTAATCCCAAACTCTCTTTTCACACTCAGAGCTGCTTTCTCCAGCAGTCAAAAGATATTTGGTCAGGGACTATAGATTTCTAAGTAATTCAACGTGGATTTGGTGAATTTTAGAAAGGAAAGCACTGTCTTAATAATTAGCTTTTACTTACCTATGCTTTCAGATCACAGTCTTTCCTAATCTTTGTTTTAGTAAGGTTTTCACGGAATTAAGATAGTATTTGCGGTGCCATTCCATATGTACACACAAAATTCTACTATTAGAAACATTTTTTAGTTACCAAAACCAGAGAACAGAGTGGTGTTCTAACTTTTTGGTTTTAGATTTTGTTGTTTTCTTTTGGTTTTGAGACCTGGTCTCACTATGTTCCTGGCTGGCCTGGAACTCACTATGTAGACCAGGCTGGCCTTTGCCACCACACCCAGCACTGCCACTGGTTTGCTATGCCTGTGGTAAAATTAGTCGCCAAATCATCATCTTGCAGTTTTAATTAGAGAATGATTAACACACACCATAAAGGATATAGAATGCCTCCTTTTATCATGTTACCCATGATTTCATTAATAGTAATTTTGGTTTTTATTATCCACATTGTAGTGTTATTTTGGAGTGGCTATTAGATTTGGAGATCCAAAGGGTAAAGACAGGTACAGCAAGAACACAGTGTAATCTTTGGTAGAAAGCAGTGTGCAGAGGGACAGTTCTACGTAAATATGTATTGGTAGAAAATAAAATACAAGTAAATGAATTTGTAGTTTAAGTAATTAGAAACTTGGGAATAAATTAGGAAAAAAGAATAAAATTCCTTAATGGATGTCATAACATTAGAAGATGCTTCTTTGAAAAGAGCAAGAAAGTAGACAAAACTTGATAATAACCGGTAATGTTAGAACGGAAAGAAAAAACAAATGTAGACCCAGATTAAGGTTATCTCATCAGTCTTTGAAGTGCCTTAAATGGTGAAGACCAGCCTACTGATAAAGAAAGACATAGAGGCCTGGAAAGTCCATAACTGTGGGAGTTTATTATAAGTATTGTCCAACTTCAGAAGAAAAAAAAAATTGAGTGCAACTCCACTCTGTTATAGTGACCTATGTAAATTCATCTGCTCAATCTATAACTTTAGATTGCAGTTTTGATTTTTTTGTCTTTTTGAGACAGGGTCTCCCTGTAGCCCCAGCTGGCCTGGATTCACTATGGAGACCAGACTGGCCTCGAACTCCCAGAGATCCGCCTGTCTCTGCCTCCCGAGTGCTGGGGTTAAAGGCATGTGCCACCACGCCTGGCTTAATTTTTTTAATTTTTATTTTTATTTTATCTGTATGAGTTTATTACCTGCATGTATGTGAGTGTACCCGTGTTGTGCATTGCCACAGAGGTCAGAAGAGGGCTTTGGATTTCCCTGAAACTGGAGTTAAGGACGGTTCGTAGCTGTCATGTGGGTGCTGGGAATTGAACCCGGGTCCTCTGCAAGAGGAGTCAGTGCTCTTAACCACTAAGCTATCTCTCCAGCCCCGTGTGACCTTATTTTTAAAAAGGAAGGATTTTTTTTTTATCCATGATAACATGACTGAAAGTTCTCATGCTTCTTTAGTGGGATTTTTTCCTTTTAAGGACTTTTTGCCATTTTGATTTGCACTTAAATATAGAATACTACCCTGCATGGGTACTGCTCATACTTCCTATAACCTAGAATAATTTTTGTTTTTATTTCTTAGGTGCAAACTGTGTTAAAGCCAGTCCACCAGAAGGAAGGACAAGAATTAACTGCTTTGTTGAATGCGCCACATATTCAGGTAGAAAAAAGGATAGAACATTGTATGTGTTTTTTTCCTAGCATTTTTTTTCTTTTAAACCATAGTCTCCTAGGGTTGGAATAGTCCTAATTTTGATGTTTATAACCTCTCTGAAAAATTGCTATTGCTGGATTATAAATGTTCAGATATAAAATTACCTAAATAATTTTGAAACTATTTATTTTAAAACTAGGCAAAAGTTCCTGGTTTTTGTAGGTTTTTTTCCATTTATTTTCTGGAAATTTTTATAATCTACAGGTTAAGCCTTTAAATTTATTCCATTTCCATGAAGTTTAATAAGCATTTTGGACTTCATTTCAGATTATGCCCTGATATACTTAGCACATGATTTATCAATAGCTTCAATAGCTATGATTGTATTTGTACTTAAATTAGAACATTTGGAAACATGTCTGGACATATGACAAATTACAGTACTTTGAAAGATTTAATGGTCACATTCTGTCCATGGTCAAAGTAAGCCTCTCTATAGTGATAAATAATGTTGTTATTTAAAATACTGTGCATTTCTTTGAAACAGGCACTTTTACTGGCCCATGATAAGGTTGCTGAGCAGGAAATGCAGCTAGAGCCCACTACAGATGAGAGAGTTTATGAAAGTATTGGCCAGTATGGAGGAGAAACTGTAAAAATAGTTCGTATAGAAAAGGCTCGTGATATTCCATTGGTAAGTATTCCTATATCTGATCTGAAATTCTTTCTACACAGGGTTCTACACAAAGATTACATGTATGACAGATAGCTGAAGACCCCATTATGTTCTTGGAAATTTTTCTCTGTGGCTTAATTTGTTGGAGTTCTTGCTTGTCAAAACCCTTATTCTGTTGAAAAAATAAGTAACTTTTCTCACTCATAATTTGATGAAAATAATAGCTTATGAAATACCTGTTGAACAAGAAGAAATAATTTCTTTATTCTTCCAACTGTTTTTCCTTTCTTCTTTCCTTCCCTACCTTTTGCTCCCATCCCCCCCCTTTCTTTGCCCCTCTTCTCTCCCTGCTCCCCCCACCCCCCACCCCCAGACAGGGTCTGAATAGCTGCCTCCTGGTGTTAACGCAGTTGTGAATGCTAGTAACCCTATTTAGGTTCTCTGCAAGAACAAGAAGTGCTCTTAACCACTGAGCCATCTCTCCAGCCCCAGAAAATAGACTTTATTTTGTATTTTACATTTCTAACTTTTGAGTATACATTTTCCCATTGACCTTCCAATTTGCATAATAAGTCTTAAGACTTGATACATTTTACTGTGAACTGGATGTAGCTATATTTAATGCCTGAATAGTCAACTATATTAAATATTCATCCCTTAATCATATTTTGAATGTTAAAAAGTTCGTTACAGTTAGACATAATGTTTATTACTTATGCCTAAATGTGTAATCATTTGAAAAGGATTCAGCATATAGAAGACAATTACGATTATACGTCTTTACATTGCTCTGCTATTATATGCTTCAGAATTCTGTGTGATTTCAGAATTTAATGAATAAAGAGTTTCTGAAGCAGAAAATATTTAGGAAAATGGTCAGCTTTCAAGTGTGATTACAATTGTTACTGTAGCAGTCTAAGTAATTTTTTCAAGATAATTGAAGACTAGTCTTATTACATTAAAAAATCAGTTTAAAAATGAAATTCTTAAAAAAAATTGCATTTTTATGTTTAAATTAGATGTTGGGTGTTTTTAGGGTGCTACAGTTCGTAATGAAATGGACTCTGTCATCATTAGCCGGATAGTGAAAGGAGGTGCTGCAGAGAAAAGTGGTCTCTTACATGAAGGAGATGAAGTTCTGGAAATTAATGGCATTGAAATTCGAGGAAAAGATGTCAATGAAGTTTTTGACTTGTTGGTAAGTTCAGACAAGTAGGATAATAATTGATGTCTTAAGAGACTGCTTTCTTTGTTCTTAGGTTTAGAAGAAAATATTTTGGGGGGGAATTTTAAAGGTAACTGGTAAGAGCATGATTTAGCCTAATTTTCACAGCATTTGTTGGTTTTTGTTTTATTTTTGGTTTGGAGTGTTTTGTTTTATTTTGATTTTTATTATACAATTATCATTTTTGGTCTCTCTATGTAGTTCCTGCTGGCCTCAAACCCATGATCCTCCTCTCAAAGCCTTTTAAGTTCTGGGATTCTAACTCTGCACCACACCAATTTCCTAAAAATATTTTACTCCTAAAATCATAATTATATAACTCATTAATTCTTTCAGTAAATAGTGAATGCATACTACTGTGTGCTAGACACTGAGAAAATAGTAATAAAATAAGGTCCATGTTCTCTTGATTTTTATGTTCTTTTTGTTTTCATTTAATGGAGCAGTACTATATAGATCTGTATGGTCTAATATAATAGCCACTAACTATATGTAATTTCTACTTCAGTAAATTTAAAAATTCAATTTCTCATTCATACTAGCTGCAATTTAAGTATTGTTGAACAAAGTTGATTAGCTAATGGCTATACTGTATTGAGAGGTAGGCATAACACATTTGTGGCATTGAACAAAATTCTATTTGGATAGCGCTACTATAATCAGGAAGTCACTTATAATGGTCTTTTGAAAGCAATTCATAATCATTTTGTACACAAGCACAAAGCAAGACTTTATTCTTTTTTGAGACAATGTTTGACTTCTTTAACCCAGGCTGACCTAAAATTCACTATGTAGCCCAGGCTGGATTTGAACTTACAGTGATCCTTTTCCCTCAGCTTCCAAAGTCCTAGTATTACAAATGTCAGCCATAAATCAGTATTTACATTCTTAGTTACTTAGCATTAGTTGTTAAAATAGAATTTTACCTACATGCTGATATGTTATAAAAGCTGGAAAGCATCCGGATCTATCACTATTCTATTCAATCTCAGCTCGTTGCTTTGGTAGAGCAAAGTGCCACTGATCATCACTTGTAGCTCATTTTATTGACTGCCATCTTAGGTTGAGTACTGCTCCCTGTTTTGTTATACTGTAAGTTGTAATGATTACTCCCTAGGCTGGAGGTATCTGAAAAAAAATAATTAGTGGCATATTAAGCAATAATTATGAACCTAGAATTAAGACTCTATACAGTTAAACAATAAAATAGAAAGGTTAAGGAAGGCATCTGGAAATTGAAATTTTTTGTATAGGACTGTGGAAGAGTTCTGGAATCATCCTATGTAGGGAGTATTAATATTTTATTTTCATAAAATTTTTAAAAATAGCTAAATCTTTCTTTTACAGTCTGATATGCATGGCACTTTGACATTTGTTCTGATTCCTAGTCACCAGATCAAGCCTCCTCCTGCCAAGGAAACAGTAGTAAGTGATTTTAAAATTTTATTATTAGTTGGTTCCATAACTACTGTTTACTTATCTGTATCAGAAATGTCACCAAATAGTTTTTTGTATCAGAAATGTCACCAAATAGTTTGTGTGTTCAAGTAAGAACAGAGAAAGCAAATATTTTTATATAAGCATAAAATGTCAACATTTAAAATTTAGTAAACTCTGAACATTTAAAAAATGATGAAACCAGTTTTCTGAAACCAGTTTCAGAAAATGTATTATTCCCGACACTGAGCGCTGACGTTAGTTATAACCGAGTTTATTTAACTCAAACATAGTGTAGGAGAAAAGATACTTTTACAAAGTATATGCAGTTCTTATTTTAGTGTATCACTGCAAGTTAAGTATTTAATTTAGCTCTATTAAGTGATATAACCCAGCAGTTTTTCTGTTAGGTATATAAAATAAACAAGAGAATTGAAAACAGACTTTCACAGAACTTGTTCATGAATACTGATAGAAGCATTATTTGTAAGAACCAGAAAGTAGAAACAACTCAAATAGCCACCAACAATAATTAGAAAACAAAGTATGGTTTATCTGTACAGTTGAGATATTATTTGATTAAAAAGAACTGAAGTATGAGTATATGCTTACAACATAGATGAACTTGAAAAAATTATTCAGCTCCAAAGACCAAGTCTTGGCTCATTTATATACAATATCTAGAAAAGGTAATCATAGAAACAGAAGTTCCTAGATGTGGAGATGGGGAATTGGGAGAGAATGGGAATGACTTCTGATCAATACTGGATACAGGAGAGTGAAATGTTCTAAAATTATTAATGGTGATAAGTTATCTCAAATACTGAAAACCCTGCCTAGATAAACCATATTAGCATATGAATTATAAACTATTTTAAAGTGAGGTTTTGAAGTCCTGGATTGGCATGGAATGCTGTTTTACTGCACCTTTTATTTCAGTAATTTCTTTTGCTCAGTTACCATACCAGGTAACAGTTTATAACATTTTCATACATGTATATCATTGTGCTTTGCTCATATCCACCCCTGCATCTATCATTCGTAACTTTTTTTTTGGTCTTTTTGAGACAGGGTCTCCCTGCAGCCCCAGCTGTCCTGGAACTCACTATGTAGACCAGGCTGGCCTCTAACTCACAGAGATCCACCTGCCTCTGCCTCCTAAGTGCTGGGATTAAAGGTGTGCGCCACCACGCCCAGCCCATTCTTAACTTTTTATAAGAGCATAGCAATTTGAGAAAGAATACAGTTTCGTTTTTCTAAATATTTCCTCACAGGTGTATTTTATATTTTGGCTCATGCATTGTTTTCCTTAATACATTAGCAACTTTTTCTGTTTATAATTCTTTGTAGGAAGAGAAATGAGGAAATAGACTTGGTCTCCAAATTCAGACAGAAAATTCTTTGTGTGTTAATGTCTTTCCATGAATAAGCCTTGAATTTCAAAAGTAGCTCTGCAGACTGAGGAGACACAACTTAGGAGAACTGGAATGTACATAACTAAATGCTCATAATCGTCCCTCCTGAGTAAATGATTTTTGCCATTTGAGAATGAGTATCAAGGGGTTGAGGTCTGTTTTACCAGTGTTTCTGTAATTTGAACAAGCAGCAATCTTTAACAAAAGTAATTTCTTTTTACATTTATTTATTTATTTGGGGGGGTGTGTGCGCATGCATGCAGTGACATTCGTATGGAGGTCAGAGGGTAACTTGCAAGAGTCAGTTCTCGCCTTCTACCTGTGGGTCCCAGGAATTAAATTCAAGTTGTCAGATTTGGCAGCAAGCATCTTTACCCACTGAGCCATCTTTGCTGGCCCTAAAAGTTATTTTTTAAAAAAATTTTAAAAATTTATTTTTAGGCCTGGCATGGTGGCTCACGCCTTTAATCCCAGCACTTGGGAGGCAGAGGCAGGTGGATCTCTGTGAGTTCAAAGCCAGCTGGTGTACATAGTGAGTTCCAGGTCAGCTGGGGCTACAGGGAGACCCTGTCTCAAAAAGACCAAAAAAAAAAAAAAATTATTTTTATTTTATGTGTATAAATATTATGCCTGCATGTATGTAAATGTACCCATGTTGTGCAATGCCCATGGAGGACAGAAGAGGGTCTCAGATCCCCTGGAACTGGAGTTAGGCATGGTTGTTAGCCACCATGTGGGTGCTGGGATTTGAACCCAGATCTTCTGCAAGAGCAACCAGTGCTCTTAACTGCTGAGTCATCTCTCCAGTCCCCAAAAGTTACTTCTTTAATGGATAAAATTACCATGTTACATTGATACTTGTTGATTTACAGTTAATGTTTTATGTTGATATTTGTTTTTCAGTATATGCAAAAGTGCAGTATTGAAGTAATTAATTTAGAGAACAGATTTTTTTTCCCTTAAGAATTTAACCAGCTAGGCATGGTAACTCATGCTTGTAATCCCAGCACTCAGGAACAGCTAAGGCAACAGTATCACCATGAGTTAGAGGACAGCCTGAGTTAGTGGGGAAAGAAAAAAATGAAGTAACTTATCCTTTGGTGGTTCTTTAACGCCCACCTTTAGTTATTAAGAAATAAAAAGCTGGGGGCTAGAGAAATGGCTCAGTGGTTAAGAGCCCCACCTATTACTGCAGAGGACCTGGGTTTGGTTCCCAGCACCCACATAGTAGCTAACAACCATCTGTAACTCCAGTTCCAGGGAATCCAACACCTTCTTCTGGCCTCCGCTGGCATTATATGCATGGATGCACTTACATACAGGCAAGGAAAACACTTATATACATAAAATAAAAATAAAATTTTAAATAACGTGGCCAGGTGTGGTGGCACACGCCTTTAATTCCAGCACTCAAGAGGCAGAGGCAGGCAGATCTCTTGAGTTCAAGGCCAGCCTGGTCTACATAGTGAGTTCCAGGACAGCTGGGGCTACAGGGAGACCCTGTCTCAAAAAGACAAAAAAAAAAAAAAGTATAATCTGAACAGTCTTGGAAGATACTTAACTAGAAAATGAAATAGTTTAAAAAAGAGCAGCAAAATGAGAAGAAAAATATACCCTTCCCCTCCTTTTTTGAGACTGTCTTATATAGTCCAGGCTGGCCTCAAACTTGTTATGTAGCTGAGGATGATTTTAACTTCAGGTCTTCCTGCCTTCACCTCCCAGGTTGCTGGGATTATAAGAATGCATCACCCATGCCCAGTTTATGTGGTGCTGGGGATAGAACCCAGGGCTTTGTACATTCTAAGTAGGTACCCTACCAACTGAAGTACATCGGGAGCCCCAGGTTTAACCCTTTAAAATTTAATACTTGGAGATAACAAGATGGCTGACCGTTAGGTAAAGGTGCTTTTGCTGATTAAAAATGCAGTTTGAAAGTTTGAGGTGTAACAGTTCAGTCTTTTAATAAATATCCCTAGCAGGTGATCTAGCGAGTGATACACTTTGTAAGACAAGTTGGGTATTGTTTTCAGGGAATGATTTGATAAAAACCAAGCGAAAAACAGGCCAATTTAATAGATATCTGGAAAACTTGATAAAAGTTATCTCCCTGCTACTTCAGTGAGGCTTAAAGTTTCCTTCCCTTCCCTTCCCTTCCCTTCCCTTCCCTTCCCTTCCTTCCTCCTCCCCTTCCCCTTCCCCTTCCCTTCCTTTCCTTTTTTAGGTTTCCAAGGTTTAGGGGGAAAATAGCAGCAATTTAAATAGGTTTTGGAAGCATTATTGACAAAAATGGTACTTGAGCAAATTTTAAAAACATTTCTAGATCATACTACATATCAGACATTTTTTTCTCATACTGAGATGATACAGTTATATGTGTATTTTTAAGCAATCTCTTAACTCTGTTTTGGTTTCTTGCTATCCCATAGAACTTGCTAAAACCCATTTTGGTACTGGTTGATCAATATTTTAATCAAAAGTCTTATTTGCACAAGAATAAGGTTCCTTAGGGAATTCATAGTTAGATAAACAGAACACCACTGTCAGATTAGGCCAAGTGTCTTTACCATGTTTGATCCAAAACTATGTGATTCCATTTATAGGAAATAAAACACAGAGGAATCAGTGTTTCTAGAAATCAGGACTATGTTTACACTGGGGGGAGGGTGGACAACAAGGTAAGTAGTGACTAAAAGGGATATGAAGTGAGATTCTGATGTACTGATATTCTGGCTCTTTGGGTGTTGGTTGCACAAGTATATTCTCTTTGGGAATTTCATTTGTGTTGTACACTTGGAATTATATGCATTTTTTGTACTTCTATAAATGCATCAATGAAAAGTTATCTCTTAAAAGGAAACTTAACATTTAAATTCTACTTCTTACATTTTAACTAGACCACCTTTTCAGTGAGAAAGTGTGTGTGTGTGTGTGTATCAGTGAGAAAGTATGTTATTAACTATTATTAGACCAGTCATAGTGGGCAGATGCCTATAATCCCAGCACTCAGGCTGAAGCAGGAGGATCACAAAGTTCAAGGTCAGCCTGGACTACATAGTAAGACCCGGTCTCAAAAACCCATAAATACTTACATATACATAAATAAAATTTGTATCTTACATCATCACTAAGAGTAGTCAGGATTCATAGAGCCCTTGTCTCAAAGACCCAGGTCCAGGGATGTTGCTCAATAGTAGACCGCTTGCAAAATAGATGCTATCTTCCATAAAGTGATTTCTGAAGCATCACAGTAGCTGTACTCATGGTGATTGTAAAAGACTGGAAAAAAATGATAGCATTTGGAGAGAAATTGGATTATGAAATTCTTAGTCTATTAATCTGTTTGCCTAATTAAGCCCAAAACTTGAAATTAAGCTATGTGAAGCAGAAGCACTAACTGCATATAATTGTTGGATGGCATTAGATGAAGGAAGGTTTCTTACCGGCTTTGAAAATGCCATGTGTCGCTTGTTCAAATTCTGTAAAAAAATTAAAAATTAAAAGAGGATATTCTTTTATACCTTCTTAGAAGTAATGCTACTTTGTTATGTTCAACAGGGGCTTATTAAGAGAAATGGCACTGGAAATAATGTAGATTTCTATAATGCTCATCTCAGCTCTTAATTACCTCTAATGCTGAATAGCATGATATATTTCTTTTATTCTCATATGTAAAAATACATGGTTAGGGGGAAGTATGATAACTGTGAATTAATCTTGATTTAGATAATTTTAGCAGTTTGGAACATGCTTGTTTTATGAACTTTTAAAAGAAATGGAGCCAGGCATGGTGGTGCATGCCTTTAATCCCAGCACTCAGGAGGCAGAGGCAGGCAGATCTCTGAGTTCAAGGCCAGCCTGGTCTACATAGTGAGTTCCAGGACAGCTGGGGCTATGGGGAGACCCTGTCTCAAAGAGACCAAAATGAATGAATGAATGAATGAATGAATGAATG